CTCACAAATACAAGCAAATCATAAAATTTTACAGTTGTGTCAAAAAAGTAAAAGACAAAACAAGTACCCGAATAGTGATTTCAGTGTTTGAAAACTGGCACCTCGAACGGTTAACCGAGTACTTAAGTAAAAGTGCAAATCCCTAAACTAACCATGACGGTGTTTTGTAAAAAAATCACCAGTTCAACCTGTATTGCTGTCATTTATTTAAATAAGGAATATCTCATACTGGGTTTCCCTGTAGCACAACAAAAGCCCAACTTCGTGGGAGATTCTAACGTTAAAAATTTTTAAATTTAAAGTTAAAATCCTTGGGCATCATCACCAATATTTTCACCCATATCAGTAGAATCAAAAGTTATCAGTACTGGCCGATATTACCTGCCAATTATATTGCTCAGGTCCTACTTCAGATCAATGCATCAATGTAATTTATTCCAGGGGTGTGTTTATCAGACTCAGAAAGAGAGAAAGACACAAAGAGAGTTAAACAGAGGAAGAGCGAGGCAGAGAAAGTGAAAGACAAGGAGAGAGTATGTGAGAGAGGTGGGAGGGGAGGAGAACATGAAGAATTAGAGCAGGAATGATGATGAAAGCGGCACTCATTTGCACAAACTGACAGCAGCCTCATGGGCTCGGAGCTTCTCTCCCGAACTCTGCCAACAACTACACATCCTCAACATCCAAAATGAACCACTTTCACAGTTTAACCTGTAATGGAAATGTTTCTCAGTTATGTGTTAGCTTTAAGATGCTATGTTGTAGCTAACCCAACAAAAAAGAAAGGAAGCTATGTATATGTGTGTATGTGTGTATGTGTGCATTCCAGACACTAAACTTGCTTTATTTTTCATTTATCCCAAAATGTAGTCTATGAACCAAGACAAGCTTGGTGTCAGACTTTTGCTTCTGTAGTTTTAACACTATAGAAACAAACGTCTGTGGTACATGCCTAAATCATCACACACTTGTTCAAAACCCTGTCAAGTTGTTAAATAATCTAAGACTTACTTATGCGGTTTCTAACACTGTATGACACAGTGTTATCTATAAAAAGGACAAACGTGCCTACAAAATTTAGGCTACTACTTTTTTAGCAATGTAATGTACTTTTGTACATTTTTTGAAAAATATTATGTCAAACAGTGTCATAATCAGATACGTAAGTCTATTTTAGATTACTTAACAACTCAACACAATTTGAGGCAAGTGTGTGATGATCTAGACATGCAGTTTACATTATGCTAACTACTCGGGCTCAACCCGAATATTCAACTCTTCGCATATTCGTTCGTTGGTTTGGTATTCGTTTTTTTTATTTTGGGATTCAGATATTTTTGGCTAAATGTAAGCTATCCATAGGATAAACTAGCATTATGTCACAACAACAAAGAACTTACTTCCAGGTGGTAGTGCTGCACTGATACAAGAGGATTTTGTACCAATCCTGATTCTTTGAGAGTTATTTAACCAGGATACTGGCGAAAACATAACATTCACAGTGATCTTGTGATAAACATCTCATTACTAAGATAGTGTGTACCGCTACATATTCGTTATTAAATACTGGTAAACTAAATCCTCTTAATATTGTCCTTGTTGATACTGATAAATGAAACCTGTGGGCTACTAAAGCTGTTCTGATGCTGTTAAATTCTATTTTAAACTGATCCTCCTACTCTGACAACTTCACCATTAACTGGACTGTTGGGGTTACTTTTTTGTCATTTAATCATGAGAAGACAAGTGGTTAGGGTCTATAACGCAGCTTTATTTTTAAAAATTTTATAGCGGATGAAGCCGTGGATGTACTTTCAGCACAGACGTGGACTTTCTTAGTGCAACAGAGACCAGTTCAATTAAAACTTACACGTCTTTTTTCCTCCATTCTATGAAAATAAACGACAAACAAGCTTTCACGTTTGCAGGAGTTTCTCACTCACATCAATCTCTACCCACACCACATCCACAACAAACCAGTAACACATATATATGTGATTTTTGATGGATATAAAAGAGAAAACAAAAGCAAAACTATCTTTAAGTCATCACCAATTATCGGCCAGTTATCAACATAGCAACATTTACATGGCTGCATGTCACAAGGCTGATGTTGTTAACAAGGCTTTTTTCAGTGTCAAAACGTAAACATAACTCTGCTCAACTATCTTCTTCTGAGATGTGCTGTTTCCTTATGTAAGCTATTACTTACCTAGCTAGCAAGTTGAGAATGGCAAAGAAAAAAGTTCAATACAGCGGAAAAAAACAACAAGAAAAAGTCTTTAAATATTTGACTCAGTTATCTACTTGTAGTGCTGTAAAATATCTAAAAATATCCCCAAATATCCACTTATTGTGCTGTAAGGCAGGGCAATTAGCCTTTACCCATCATGATATTCTGTCAGCTGTTATAGTAACTGCACAGTTAAATGTCAGCAGTTATGTATTATGTTTAAAATTTCATTGTATACTTTCTCAAGGGAATGGTAGCTACAATGAATTAGGCTAGTTGTTGTCAACCTGACTGTGGCAATGTCTCAATGAAAGTCTGGCTATGCCACTGGAATATCCATTGCTAATAGGGTATAACCTACATTAGCCTTGTAGCTCTAGTGCAAACCTAAAGAAGCAAACTTTGGGCACCAATCAATTTGGCCAATCAACTACATTCGCAGAAAAATTTATTTATTTTGGGCTGAACTTTCTCTTTATCAGGCTTCCACATCCTGCTCATCACCAACCCTGTGTTTTTCTAGAGGATCCAGTCATGTAGTTGGAGAGCAGTGGCTAGTGGAAGAGAGTGGCAGCACATAAAGGATTGGGAGATGATTTACAGGCATGATAAAGCACTCCAGCTGGACCTGCAGTCGGGGGGATAATGCTGGCGGCACTGCCACAGCCCTGGCACAATACTCCCACTCATGCAATTACATTATGCTCCAGCTAGAGGCTGAGAGATGGCCTGGCCCTTAAATGAAATAGCACTCTCTTAAAGGACAGGCCAGCTCAGTGCTAGAGGAGGAGGAGGACACAGGGACCACTAAGATCCACATCTCACACACATATACACATGCATGAACATACATATGTACATACACACATATGCACACACTTCCTTTATGACCAGCTTGTCATGACGCACAGAGCCCAGGGCACCAGGTTAATAAAAGATGTACACTTAACTAACTCTGAAAAGCTATTGTAAACCCAACATACAACACAAATGAGCATAACTGGCCTACATTTCAGTTTCAGAGCTAAAAGCAGCAGCTGAATGGTGAGGCAGCCATACTGACAGCACAGGGTTAGCCCATGCAGTGATGTGAGTCACTATCATCAGAAAACACAGGTGGGCTCAGCCTACAAGCTAACCTAAAACTGTAAAGAGGCTATTGCTTTCTCTAATTCACCAAAAAAACAGCTGATCCAGTGGCACAGCCGGTCAATTGACAGCACTCAATGGCTGACAACAGGTCGTGGTTTGGAGATAAGCTCATTCATATTTGTGCACTGATTCTGTGAGTATCACAAAGTGCACAGCCAAAAAGGGGGATTATGCCATGAAAGAGGACTATCACTGGCAGAAAATAACAGGTTAGATTCAGTTATGATTATGAATGATGTCTATTTCAATTAACATCTATTTTGCTTATTCGTTTCAAGAAATGTTTTGATTTTTAGGAGGATTTTCAATTCAGTTTTCAATTTTCATGATAGCCCGTAATTTTGTAAAAGCAGTTAGATTGGAGCTGTAGCTGGTCTGATGAAGAGTTTTTACAACTGAGAAAGGAAGAAGCTGGCTTATACTGAGATACAACCTTTACCACAAACCTCTTTTAATAAATCTCTCGCACATAAAACAGATCCACAGCACTCTACAGACCTCCTGTGTTGTGTAATTATATTAGCTACCTATCCTGAGGGTATTACAGCAGAAAGCCTGGTCTGGTTCACACCGCACTATGTGTTGTAATGTTTATACCAGGCATAAAATTTCAAAACCACAGTAAAACCAACATCATATTCCTTTTGGTACATGAAATATCACTGATGCCTCAGAAAGGCACAGACGAGCCAACACTGTGAAGCACAGTGCATCCCAGATTTCATTTGGAATTTGCTGAAGGTCATAAAAATGGAGCAGCTCTCATTTGCCCAGTGCACCTAAATTAAATGATCTTCATTATCTGGTAAATTACCTCAATTGTTCATAGTTAATTGACCTGTCCAGTGATGGCTGAGGTGCTGGCTGCAACAGCTGGGACGACAAGGACCACCCAGTCTGTCTCACCGTTCGGTCTCAAATTGGTCTCAAAATGCCTTTATTAGACATTCTTTGTGCGACATAATGATGATATTGACTTTTTAGCACCCAACAGACATACCCCGTTCAAGGATACTAACTTAAAAGGAGTTTGCTCAACAGCCTTTTCCTACAGTATCTAAATATCGAGAGTTTGCGCAATAATCTATTAGTATAGTATCTCAAGATGGGGAGATTGGCCAATAGTTCACTAATATAGTAACTCACTATAGGGAGTCTGCTCAATTGTGTACTAGTATAATAACTCAAAATTGGGAGTTTGCTCAATTGTGTACTAGTATAATAACTCAAAATTGGGAGTTTGCTCAATTGTGTACTAGTATAATAACTCAATATTGGGAGTTTGGTGAATAGTTAACTAGGACAGTAACTCAATACTGGTATTTTGCACAATAAATTCTAATACTGAAACTCAATATTATTATATAATGAGTTTTCTCAATAATCTACTAGCATAGCAAGTCAAAATAGAAGTTTGTACAATAGTCTATTAATAATGCTGTTTGAGAAGATCCATAATAATGACACATCATAGCGGCCATGTCAGTACTGCTCTGGCTTCCATCTCAAATGATCACAGACACCAGTCTTTACAGTACAGAACAGTTAGTGAGAAAAGGAAAAGACTTCATGTGCAATATCTCTGGTCGCTGTAGCAGTCTTGGTCTACACTCACCAGTACTCTGCCCGTCAGAGTTTGCGCTGAGATCATCACCCCGGCCCAGTCCTTGACTGAGGTCATCCAGCCCACCTCACTGGCTGGAGCATCGTCCTTCTCATCCTGGCCCTTCACTGGCCCGTCTGACTGACCGCTATTCACCTTCTGTGCCTCCTGCACACAAAAATACATGACAAAGATGATGAGCATCAATAAGATCACAACATTTTTTTACAATGCTCTGGACTTTTTAATATGCAGTAGTAGTACTAGGAGATATTCTATGCCTCGGTATACCAGTATTTGTATCACACAGCAATACTGTTTTTTATTTTTATTATTGTTAAAAGATTAAACCAAAAATCTGAAAACAAAATTGACTTTTTTTTTATTCTTTGCCTTGTAAGTTCATGTCCCTGGTCATTTTAAGCTTGATTCCATCAATATTATTGACACTACCATTTAAAGGACAACTTTCTTATTTCCTCATCATCTTTAATTACACTAAAGTGGACTCCTAACTATTACTACTACTACTACTATTAATATTAGTAGTATAATAATTTTGTAGGTAGTTTGACCAGAGGAGGATGGGTCCCCCCTTGTGAGCCTTGGTTCCTCCCAAGGTTTCTTCCTCAGCTCTGAGGGAGTTTTTCCTTGCCACTGTCGCCACTGGCTTGCTCACCTGGAGGATTTACATTTCATGTTGAAACTTTGTCCTAAATTGGATTTCTGTGAAGCTGCTTTGTGACAACATCAGTTGTAAAAAGCGCTATACAAATAAATTTGACTTGACTTGACTTGACTTTAATTGAAGTGTAGTGACTTTTGCCCACCTCTAAATTATCTTCTGATTTTTGACTGTTACCATGCACCAAAGGGTGGCGGGAAAATATTAACCAGTAATATCATGCTTCACTTTGCCATCCCATCACCCTTAGCTGTCATCAAGTGAAAACAATCAGCTAGCTCAGTTACAGTACGAAAGAAAAATGCTTTATGACTTGGAATTCACATTGACTTTAGCATAATGCATATGATTTGCTGGGTGCTTATGACTGGTTTGAAAGTACAATTCAAAAAACATTAAACAAATGTCCTTTCTGGATATGTACTTTCTTTCCGATTTAACCTTTATAACTGTTTTTGTATATTTTTTAAGAGAAGAAAACAGAACATTCCAATCAAAACAAGCTATGGAGCATTATGCACCAGTATTCAGGAGACATGGGTAAATTTAACATTATCAATGCAAACTTAAATACCACAGGACACTATAGTAGCTTTATAGATTTGCAAAATACTGTGATAATTTAATTAACACTATCCAGCATTATACAATAGGCCTATACATCTTGGGGCTGTTTCTGAATTGTCAGAGTACTTTATTTATAGCCCAAACAGAAGTACAGTGTGTCATACATTGAGATAGTTGGAGCATAAAATTGTTCATAGCCATGTAACAGCCATGACACAGAACCTACTATAGCGTCCCTGGGACATGCACGTACCACACTACCTATGAATGCACATTCACATCATAGGAAAAAGGATAAAAATTGGTATTTAAAAAAAAAATTTACAGTCATGACTCATGGTTCACACTAAAGTTTGTGAACACATCACATGTGGCAGCAGAGCAGCTGACAGCAGGGCCCGGCCACAGCAAAGCCATCGCGCAGAGGGGGTGTGTATGTGTGTGTGAGGCATCTCTCAGACTGCCTGACGCATATAGCGTGCCTGGCGGCATGTAGGCAGAGGAAGGGACCGTTATGATTCACAGGCAGTTGCCGTGGGATACTGGGGTTACATCCGCAGGGGTACGCATTACATCACTGTAGGGTAGCAGGATGAAAATACAGCCGACATATATTGAGCAATGTGTACAGTCTTTAGAACTACTGTAGGGATACTTTCCATTCTGTTAGGGCTGGGTGTATAGAATATTTAGGATACATCACTTTTTAGGCTTTATCACGATGATTTTTTTGAAGATACAAAAATAGAAACTTCACAGTGACCTTAAAGCACATGTGTGTAGGTGAACTAATGGCTAATAACACCCTGCACATGAGAGAGCTAGGTTTAATTCCTTATTCAGGTAGGAACGACACTGCTGCACAAACAATTCCTTAAGTTGCATTTGTCTACTAGTCAATTCTAGTATAAATGTTCTCAAACTGGTCCTCAGGGGACCCCAGATGGTCCAGATATTTGTTCCAATCCAACCTGAAACACACAAGGATAGAGCAAAAAATGTGTATTGTCTGGGGGACCCTGAGGATCAGTTTAAGAACCAGATTTGCAGATTTACCCTTCTGCAAAGTAGAGTATTGTTTGGGTCTTCTCTCACCCACAGTGCAACTGGATAGCCAATCAGCATTGATCCACAGATTCTCACACTAAGAAACTAAGACACACATCTCAGATGAAGCAAATACCAATCACTATGGGGGCTTGATCAAACTACAAGGGCTTAAATTGTCTGGACGGTTATATAGGTGGGAATTTCTGAAAATCAATAAGATACTATTCTATTAAAATGTTCCTGATATATAGGCTATCACCCAACCCTACATTCTCTCATAATGTTGACGACATCATTCTACAGAAATAGTTCTTGCTAAAACACATTCGCTGTATTTTTATTCACTTGAATCTTTGCTGTTTGGTAGACTCCTGTACTTATATGTAATAGTGTGTGACATATACAGCAGCTTCTAATATTTAAGTGAGGTATGCTAGTACCTTTTCAAAGCTTCTGACAGCTACACGGATGCTAAAAGCTCAGTCATATACATGTGCTTGTCAGCTAATATTGCAGCATGCCAATTTCTAAAATGCACTTTCAGTAGTAAGTCGGCAATGTATAGCAGTTCAGTGAAGAAAAAGCAGAAGCAGATGTGCCATCTGGCTGGCCTGATGAAGCATGAGCATGTTAAACAAGGGAAGAAGGGCCCTTCGATGATAACTGCATCTCCACTGATAACATCAGCAAAACTAGCTAGCTCCATATGGAGAATGAAGAACGTCATGTGGGTTTCCACTCAGCTGCAAAAGTCAGAGCCTGAACACTAGGTGTCACAGTGCACAGGTTTGGTTGTACAAATTTAAGCATCTTGACATTAGTTAGGGAGTACCTTCCAACTGTAGCCAATGTCATATCACACCCATCTTATTATTATAGCCATTGCTGAGGAATCTATTGTCCTTCTTGAGGGTTGTCTTTCATTTTCTCTGGCAAACCACTTAAAAAGTATTCAGTTGTTGTAGTACTCAGTTATTGTTAAGGTATTGCCTTAAAAATCCATCTAGAGCAAGCATCCGTCTTAGATAAAGTAAATGCTGCTCACTACAGGTGCTTGATTGAACTACTGAGGCCTGAGAACTCTCTGGTTGGTCATATAGATAGAGGTTTCTGAAAATCAATCAATCAGACACTACTGTATTCAATTTCATTGTTAAAATATCCTGTCGAAATGTCCTAGCAAAACTCAAGGCACCTGGTAACGAGACTAGTTAAAGAGAGCAGCAAAGAACTCATCTGAAATGCATAACATATAATTTCCAATGAAAGAATCTGATCTAGAGGCTGAGGTGCCTTGTAGAATCACCATTGTTTCATTATTATTATGGTAGTCACAGTTTTACTATATTAAAATTTATTAAATTATGATTAAACTTTCTCAAGCACTGGGAAATATATGCATGCGCAATAATGTGCATAGTGTGGGCTGGGATAGGCCTATAATTTTTAAAAACAAACAAACAAATAACACATGGAAAACCTTGTTTGGAGTTTTTAGAATTTTTTGCTTCTAATTTAAAACCTATAGCGCACAGTAAAAAAAAAACAATCTCTTTATGGGCTATTCTACAATTCTGGAAGAATTTTTCCATTTCACCATTCCATTGTATTCAATTATCCATATTTCCAAGCACACGCTGAACATTAAGTCACTTAACCATCACCTCACGGCTTGCAACAGCTGCAGAGGCGTTGGCAGTCAAACATGTTTACGAGAGAGGCATGTAGCAACAGTACTGAAAAACCATAAATATGTGTTAAAGGTAGCTATCATTATTATTACCAGTAAGCTAGCACAATGTTACCTAGTATTTTGGGATTCTACTGCTTGGATTTTTTTCTGCTCAACATTTTGATTTGTCAGGCTACATATGCAGTTTCTTAGACTGCAGGACAATGTTATCTGTCAAAATGGACAAAAGCAGTAGCAGCCATCTAGAAGCCTGCACACTTTTGTCCATTCAAATGAAAGAAATTTCCTCTGTACACCAAGATCATCTACTGTTACTTAACTATCTACTATATCTACTGAAATTTCACTTTAAAAGGAGTGAAGGAATTGTCAGCTGACTTTACTTTGTCCAGTACATTTTTCACTTCTCTCAAATTGGCATCTCAAGCTGAGAAGCTCAAGAAAAGCTCCTTCTGCTGACACATGCTAGGAGAGGAACTCTGACCCCTTTGTCAACTATACTGCATTTCTGCCATTTCTCTGTCAATCCTATTATTATCTACGACACTGGCCAAGAGTAGAGTGCCACCAGTAGAGGGACAGAGGATTTACTATCATATCAGGCACAGTGCAATTTTCTCTCAAACTGAAAATCATTGCATCAGCCAGAGCGCTTATCACTTACATCTCTGGAGGAGGCGCTCAGGCCTTACTAACACAGCTGGGGATGTGTGTGATGGAAACTTGATCACACTGATCAGAGTCTCCAGAGGAGAGCCACACCCCTAATGACAAACGAGGGAACAATAAAAACAAAAAAGAGCTTTACCAACAGAATCAACCGTATATGAATCTATTTACCAAATTGGTTCAAAGTCAGAGTTTAAAACATATTTCAGAACTATAACTGAAATGGACATAAAAATGGACTAAAATCTAGCTTTGAAGGCATAACTCAAAAACACTAGCCAGTGCATAACTAGCAAACACAGCTTTGAACAGTTGTACACACATAAAATCATAATATTTTTCATTTAAAAAAAAAGTACTTAATTGCAAAAATCTAACCAAGAGGGACAGGGATATCGTCTCACTTTCTGCTCTAAAATGCAGGGGTGTGGCTCAGAGTATAGACTAAAACTCTTAGTTTCAGCAGTGACTTGAAAAATGTAGGACAGCATTTTTTTATTTCCA